CTAATTTATTTCCCAATATAGTTTTTTATTAAAACTTGATTATGATGTTATTCATTAACAATTAGACACAATGAAATATTATGTATATAACAATTGGAAAATAGGATTAAGAAGGCTTATTTGTTCATAAATAAAAGTTTTACTTTACATTTTCTAATCGCTTAAAGTTTTACTCAAATTATCAACTTAATTATTACTAAATTATTTGCAATCGAAGCAATTAATTGCAAAACTGGTCATTACAATGAAACCGGCATGTGATTCTTGTGAGTTATGTGTATGTGTGACCGGTAGCGAACTATTCCTCTGATCCAGCACTTAACCATGAATTCCAAAAAATATTTATTATTGACAAAGGTATACAGTTTTGCATTGTGTGATAATGTTCGCGTTTCCATTTACGATCAACAAAACATTCGAGTTTTATTTGATAATTGGGCAACCGCGAATCTGGCTTGCTGGCGTGATCAAGTGTGATGCATCGGACAACGATATCATTACTGGTATAAAAAGAAAATCCAAAAATAACAACGATGTGAATAGCGATCCATCATTTAAGAAAGAATCAGCAAACCATCTCGAAAATATCCATCAAGAGAATACAAAAACAACAGATTCTGGTGACGTTATTGTACTTTCGAATAAATCCAAAGTCAATAAAAATAATTCTTCAACTGCAATTAAAGGAACGACATCACTGGAAATGGAAACGCGCAACTGTAAATTTGGTAACACTACTCCAAGAACACCCGGAAAAATTCGTCGCAACCAATAAGATTTTGCTCAGCAACTAATAAGGATATGTAAATTTTTGATCAACCCAGCAAAAAAAATTTGACAAGAAAATAAAAAATGCGAAATGTCAAAAAAGACAGAAAACTGATGTTTAAATCAGGCTTGGAACAATAATTAAAATGTCGGGGAGGCAATTTTACATATATACAGGGACTGATTTGGAGAACAATATTTAAAGGCGAGTTTCTCCTTAAGGAAATATCAGTTATTGTTAAAAAAAATCATATTACACATTGCTAAACTAATACTACCATTTCTATATATCACTGACCCTTTCTGGCATCGAATTGATCAACCTTTTACAAAAGTCAATTTCGATACTCTTCCAAGCAATTTGTAGCTTTTCCCACAAATCGTTTTTATTTAAAAGTGGGCCAGGAAGATTCCGCAAGCGTGTATCGACTTCGTTCCATAAATTTTTGATTGGATTTAAGTCGGGGAACTGGGTGAGCCAATCAAGCAAAGTAATGTCATTATCCTCGAACCATCGCTTGGCTTTTCCGGAGGTATGTTTGGGTTGTCTTGCTGAAATATGAATTCACTATCTTCCAGCATTTTCTCAAACTGTGCCTAAAAAATTAGACATCAGCATCCATTTTGCCATCAATTTTTTGGAGTTCACCAACTCCGTTGGCAGTTAGGCAACCCCAAATCATAATGGAACCGCCACCAAATTTTACGGTTGGAGTAACATTGTGGGTGGTCTTTTAATTGTTCACCAGGCTTCTTCCAGCACCATTTTAGTCCATCCGACCCAAATAATTGGAACTTGCTTTCGTTGGACCGAATTATTTTCCACCAGTCATTGGCCGTCCAATTTTTGCTCATTCTAATCAGAATTTTTTGTGTGTTTTTTAAGTAATGGCTTTTTTTGTTTAATCCTTGCAAATAAGCCATTTTTTCTAAACGTCGTATGCTTTCCACTGAAATTTCGACTCCCAGTTTAGTTTGGAGCTCGCATTGAACTTGGATGGCGGTAGTGTATTCTCCAGATAATATTAATCGGATGGCTTTCCATTCGTAATGATCTGAAAGAATGCGTGGACAACCGGGTTTTCAGATAATATTAATCGGATGGCTTTCCGTTTGTGACGATTCAAAATAATGCGTGAACAACCGGGTTTTCAGATAATATTAATCGGATGGCTTTCTGTTCGTAACGATTCGAAAGAATGCGTGGATGACCAGGTTTTCAAATAATATTAATCGGATGGCTTTCCATTCGTAACGATCTGAAAGAATGCATGGACAACTGGGTTTCCAGATAATATTAATCAGATGGCTTTCCGTTCGTGATGATCCGAAAGAATGCGTGGACGACCGGGTTTCCAGATAATATTAATCAGATGGCTTTCCATTCATAATGATTCGAAAGAATGCGTGGACGACCGGATTTTGGTTTATCTTCGAAGATTTGCAGATGCATTGAACTGGAGCTAAGCCCATCTGTTCCGATAAGACAATTTCCTGGACTGAATATCCTTCTTGTCGGAGAGTGTATATTCAGGAGCATTTTTCTAGTGAAATGCGAGGTGTTTTGGAATAAAAAATGGTTAGAATTATTGTTTAGAATAACGAAAAGTGTTCTATAGATATTGTAGTGGAAAAAG